CTAGTAGGCCGAGTTTCTGTTTGTATCCATTATTGTCGCGAAATATATTATTTTTCCCGCGCTAACAATCGGCCGCTCGCGCGAAAAAAATTTCTGGCGAAGCGATTTGCTGACGCTCTCAGCGTGCACTATCGGGATTTTGAGCACGCTTACAAATATTGAATTTGATTGCGCGGTTCTGCTAGCTATGTTCTAAAAAAAATTTGTTTGGAAGGATTCATTTTCTAAAGTTCGAGCAACCTTTTTTCTAGTTACCAGAACGAGGCATGTTGATAGTATACAGAGGTCGATGCAAGGCTTTTGCGCCACGAGGGAATTCGCGTCAACCGCTTATCGGTTAACTACCTCTACGCACGAACATTGCTATATTTGAAGTTGGAGAAACTGTAACAATAGACATTGATGTAGCATTTTGCACCATTACAATTTCGACAAAACGGAGCCAATAACTTTGATTTATTGACTTGGACATACCCTCACAGCTCCTCATGCTGCAAACGCGGGACTGCTGACTAGGTCCTGTACATTGCCTGCCACCACTTGTCGGCCTGGGACTGTCGCATCTGCGTTCTTGGGTCTGTAATCCTGTTCCACAGGTCTTGGTGCATCTGCTCCATTCACTCCAAGGGCCCCAGCCTCCATGCACTACTAAGTAAAGAAGATTAAAACATTGATGACTTAAAACATCGTTACACCGCCTGGATGCCCGTATCCTATGTTAGCAGAGCATCCGAATACGGGTCCCAACTTCTGTTTTTTCATAGTACGGTCGTGGTAATCATTTAACACTGTCTTGTATCCACATTATATATTGTTAATTTTCTATTGCTATCATTATTTTCCTTATTGTGATAAGTATCGTTTATTTATTTATCATCAGCAGATCTACTGTGAGATTTAGTTTTTTGAAGAAACAAAATCAACGATAGCGACTTTTGACTTTTCCCACTTCGTTTATTTGCTTTCTTTTTATTTAGTAAATTATTCTTTTAAAAATTTTCAAATACCGGCGAAAACATACCGGGACAATCCCTGATTTTGCACTCCCGTGACTGCTGACTAGGACCTCGACATTGCCTCCCTCCATTTTGTGGTCTTGGACTGTCGCATCTGCGTTCTTGGGTCTGTAAACCTGTCCCACAGGTCTTTGTGCATCTGCTCCATTCAGTCCAAGGGCCCCATCCTCCATTCACTAATCAATAAAATTAAATAATCAAGATTTAAAACACTGGTTTATCATCTGGATGCCCGTGTCATGTGTTGGTAGACCACCCGAATGTGATTCTCGACTGACAGATCTTATGTATGTTTCTTTATAGCACGGTCGTGGTCGTCACTTGTTATCCACATCATAATTTTTTATAACTGTTATCGTTAGCATTGTCATCTTATTATGATAGTTACCATTTACCTTTATATCATAAGTTTGTGAAGAAAAAAAAAAAACTTCAACGTCCGCGACTTTGATTTTTGATCATTTATTCTTTGAAAAACTCTAATTTACCGACGAGAACATACCGGGACAATCCATGATTTTGCAATTCCGTAACTGCTGACTGGGTCCTTGACATTGCTCCCCTCCATTTTGTGGCCTAGGACTGTCGCATCTGCGTTCTCTGGTCTGTCGTCCGGTCCCACAAGTCTTGCTACATTTGCCCCATTCATCCCATGGGCCCCAGCCTCCGTCTGTTGGAAGATTTGGCGACCCTTGTTTTGTTGCCAAGACAGCATAGGAGTTCGAGCCGCATCATCAAGAAGACAAGTCGTAGATTAATTAGCATAGTATTATATTAGTATATGAATAGATTCATTGATGAGATTTTAGATTAAGGTAATTCCCTTGAAATTGTTCTACTATCAAACTACTTTTGAAACTAGGAATAATTAACATTCGTGATATAAACTTTTAAAAAATTGCAACGAAAAAATGGGGTCACCGTGCTTGTTTACGCGTCAGCAGGCTCTTAAAATGGGGTATTTTTACTGGTTGCGCGTGAAAAATTCGAATCACATTCAAACAGAATTTAGCCTTGGTAACTTGAAAGATACAAATTTTATTTTGAAATTAAAGTTTCAATTATTAAAATAAGCAGTATCGCGTCATTTTAGCTGCTTTTAATTGGCTGGTTGTGGGGATTTTGCACTTTTTTGGACAGTTCCGTGGTTAGCTAGAAGTCCTCGTCTTGACCAAAATACAGCGAGTGCGGAACTATTTTCCGAAAAAAATCATGTTCTACAAT